ATGGCTGGTTTCTCACAAGTAGAAAGAACACCAAGCCTTTCTTCTGGGCACCTCTATGTGGACTTGAACCACCAACCTTTGGGGTAGCAGCCGAGTCCTTCACCATTTGTACCAGCCTGGTGTGTGGGCACGCCCCTGCAGATGGACGTCAACATGGATTCCCCTTGCTCCTTTGTGGTTGTCTCTGACTCACAGCAACCTCCATGTAAGTCAAGCTTTGAGGGTCTCCCCAAGGTAGATAAGACTGTGAAAAACATTTTCCAATGTATTGTGCATTCCACGTATCCAATCATTTCCTCCGTGCTGATTCCTACAATGGGATGGCTGGGTCAAAGGCATGGTTTTGACACACATGGCTGGATGGTCCATTAGGAAACCTGTACTAATTGGAACTCCTACCAGCAAGGTGTGCATACCTGTTTTCCTACATCCTTGTCAACACTGGATATTATCATAGTTTCTGTTCCTGCCCATCTGATAGGTGAAGAATATGATCTCATCATTGTATTAATGGGCATTTCTTTGATTACCAGTCAGGGTGATTAGTCTCATCTGTTTGTTGAGTTTCCTTCTCTGAAGATTGCCCATCAAGTTCTGTTTCTTCGTCCCTGTAAGGGGGAGGGAACAATGTGTCTTTTTTCTTGTCTCATTTGTTTATTCATGAGTGCTGTTTACATATTAAGGCTCCCCAAAGAGGAAGAGACTCCCTTTACATAGATGCCAAGAGACCAAAAATCTGCCCGATGACCGATCAAAGTCATCCTTTCTGTTGTATGGGGAAGCTTACTGACTGGGATGAACATTACTGCTCTTTCCAGTGGTGACCAGTTGGATAGGAAATGATCCGATATTGGGGTCTTGAGGGGTGTGTGTGTGTCTTTTTAATTTTTATTTAATCATTTTATTGGGGACTCATACAACTCTTATCACAATCCATCCATCTATCCATTGTGTCAAGCACATTTGTACATTTGTTGCCATCATCATTCTCAAAACATTTGCTTTCTACTTGAGCCCTTGGTATCAGCTCATTTTCCTCCTGCCTCCCTGCCCACTCCCCCTCCCTCATGAACCCTTAATAATTTATAAATTATTATTTTGTCATATCTTACACTGTCCGATGTGTCCCTTGTGTGTGTCTTTTTATACCTGTTACAATTTTGAGGGAGGCAGCCTCCTGAAACCATTAACAGTGCGATGTTCACGCATTGAAAACTCATGTTGGGTCCATGCTATTCTGGCAAGCAGGCAGGGGCAACAGGAAGCATGCATCATGCCTCTGGATGTGCTTGGTGATGGGGGTGGGGGTGGGGTGTCCTCCAGGTGGGCCCAAGTGTTGGGTAGCCAGGACAGGGACAGGGGGCTGTCCCTGCCATGCTGTTACAGGCCCCCTAGAGGAGGTAGGAAGTGAATCAGGTGACCATTTGACACCCAGGAAGACTCCCGAACTGGGCATTCTCCAATTCAGCCCTCAAGCCAGGTGAGCGGTACACCTTGGGAGCCCAAACTAGGCCCAGGCCCAGCACATCGCCCAGGTGGGCTTAATTCAGCCAATGGGTCAACCAATACCTTCAACTACGCCTCCCCAGCCAGAGGTGGGAAATACCTCTCTCCTTACCCTGCCCCAGTGCGCGCTCCTGCAGTGCAGCGCTCTCTGGCATCCATTCTGCATGTGTGGGTGTGCTGTTCCCCAAGGTTGCTCGCCCGACCAGTTGTGAGCCCCAGCGCTCTGGCTCGGCATGCTTCCCTGAGACTGTACAACCTAAAACTGCCCCCGTGCTTCATCAAAAGCCACTCGGATGACAAACAGGCTTCGGCATGAATTCTTCCCTGTGGGAAGCCAAGAACTGAGGTATTACCTTCTTGAGAAACCTCACACAAGGACACACCAGGGAATGTCTGCCTAGCTGAAGTGTAGCCATTTTGGTGCCTCTACCTGGATACTGCTTCTCAATCCTTTTGTTGGAGAAGAGGAGCCAGAAGTGCAGCGAGGGAAAATCGCCATCCAAGAGGCCCGTCCAGGAAGAGTGGAGTATGAGTTAGACACAAGATGTGTCTCGAGGCAGGTGGGAGGGTCTTTTATTCAGCTTCCATGGCATCTTGCTCCTTCCCGGTCCTCACTCTGCAGAACCCAGGAGTCCCCACCCCCACCCCACCATCCATGAAAGGCTTCTTACCACCCTGGCTGCATCCCCAAGAGGGACCATCTCAAAAATCCCAACCCAACTGGCTGGCGTGAGTTGATTCCAACTCATGCAGCCGTGATGAGTTCACAGTCTCAGACACCCACTGGGGCAGTTCCAGCCCGCCCCCTAGGAACGATGTGAGTCAACTTCTCAAGACGGTGCTAAGAAAGCCTATTGATAATCGAGGAGCTGACACCCCAAGGGCTCAAGGAGAAAGGACATGTTTTGAAAATGATGATGGCAACATGTACAAATGGGAGCCCTCAACAAAACGATTTTAAAAATGCCTATTGAAAATGAAAAGAGACTTTTATTGTGATTATTATGGTGAATTGAGCAAAGGCTCCCAAAGCAGGACGCCTTTCCAGTCGGCATATTCCATGGGCTGCTTCACGTCATCAATGGCGCCATCCCTTCCCTGTAACACCACGTATCCCACGTCCTGCTTTGTCCTTGTCCCTTTGAACTCTGTCCTTGGGTGAATGCTGTCCTCCCCCTTAAGAAAGCCAGACAAACACAAAAGTCCTCTTTATTGTGAGTTAGATGACGCCTGTTCCACTCAGCAGTCCAGACACATTGTGCTTCCCTGTCACTGATTGTGATCCACTCAGTGCTACAAGAGGTGTCCCGTTTCCTCCTGCCCTGAGCTTCTCACTCCTCCTCTCCAACGCTCTGAACTTTGTCCTTTGTCAGTGGTGTCCTTTGGGTCTCAAATGGTTGAGGAGTCTAATCTGTGGTACCTCCCTAGCCTTATTGTTTTTTATAAGCCTATTGTTTGGCAGATAATTGAACTATCTGCGTGAGGTCACTTCCGGTCCTGAACGGTGAGTAAGGAACGTAGTCTTGGGGATTCCATCAGTCTCTATCCAACTAATGAACCTAAACTTTTCTTGTGTGTGTGAGATCTTGAAAATAAAGCCTGTACTGGCGGACAGGGGGTGGGATGGGGGTGTTCTTGTGTGAATTAGAACTACCATAGTAGCTACCAGTTGGGCTGCTAACTGTAAGGTCGGCAGTTCGAAACCACCAGCCACTCCTTGGGAGACAGATGGGCCTTTCTACTCCCGCAAAGACTTACAGTCTCAGAAACTCACAGGGGGTCAGTTCTGCCCTGTCCTGTAAGGTCTCTGTGAGTCAACATTGACTCAAAGGCAGGGAGTTTTTTAAGGTGTGTGTGTGTGTGTGTGTGTGTGAATTAAAGAAAATACTATTTAGTCAGTACAGTACTTGGCCCATACAAGGCCCTCAGTACCAAAGTGCAGTTGTTACTTGTGCATGTGGGTGGTGTAGTGGGTTACATGCTGGGGTGTTGAGTGCAAGGTAAATAGTTCAATACTACCTACCGCTCGGTGGAGGAAAGAGGAAGCTGTCTGCTCCAGTCAAGATTCACTGCTTTGGAAACCCACAGAGGCAGTCCCACTCTGTCCTGTAGAGTGTTACGGGCTTGATGACAGGGAGTTTTGGGGAGTCGTTGCCTGCGGTAAAATCTGTTTTGACTTCTGATGACCTTATGTGTCGCAGAGTGAAATCTTGCTCAGTCCTGCCTCTTTTCCGATCATTGGTACGTTTGAGCCCACTGTAGCTATTGTGTCACCCCATCTCATGGAGGTGTCCCTCGCCTTTGCTGACCCCTGAACTTTCCCCCCAAACGAGGTCCGTCTCCTCCTCACTCATCGCATTAGGTAAATCTGCATTCGGTAAGTCTCTTTAAAGTGTTGATAAGCAAGGAGGTTACTTCCCCCTAAAGTTTCATTGGCAGGTAATCCACATATTGCACAAATATCAAGAAGAGTTGTATACCATCACCATGTTTTAGAACATTTTCCTCATTCTTGTACTTATTGTTCTTAGCTCCCCATTGCCCCACCACCTCTCCGGCAGTACCCACAAGGAGCCATGAATCCAGTCCCTGTCTCTATCGACCTAAGGAAGGAGCTCCCTTGGAAGACTCAGGTGCACCTGATCCAAGCTATGCTGTTGTCATTTGTCTCACAGCATGTGAGAGCTGCCCGTGGAATAAGGGAGACTGAAGAAGAATCGATACACTTGAACTACGGTGTGGGCAAGAATACTGAAAGTACCGTGGGCTGCCCAGAAGAACACAGCGATCTGGCTAGAACGCTCCTTAGAGGCGGAGCTGGGAGACTTGGTCTCGCGTACTTTGGGCATGCGGTCAGGAGAGACCACTGCCTGGGGAAAGACATCACGGCTGGTCACGGAGAGGGCAGCAAAAGAGAGGCAGACCCTCGAGGAGATGGTTTGAGACACTGTGGCTGCAATAATGGGGTCAATCCTAGGAACAATTGTGAGGATGGCGCAGGACCGGGCTGTGTTTCGCTCGACTGGACGCGCTGTCCTGATGAGTCGGAACCACCTGGACAACAACTTCTCTTGTCACTGTCATATTCCTACTTAGTCACGGTGTAGGGCAGAGTAGAACTGCCCCTGGGGGTAGTTTCCGAGACCGTAAACCTTTCCCCGACTAAAAAGTCTCATTTTTCTCTCGGAGAGCGACTGCTGGTTTCGAACAGCTAACGTTGCTGTTAGCAGCCCACCGAGTAACCCCCTGCCACCAGGACTCCCAATCCTGCACGTAAAACTACGAATCCCAGAAGTCCCTGCGATCACGGCCCACTCCTATTGGTCACACCACCGGAAGATCCGCCCTTACCGACCCTCACTTCCGGAAACTCTAGGTCCCTGTAATTCCTGGGCGGTCACCCACGTGGGGCGCAGGGAAGGCTCGCCAAGGCCCCCGAGCGGCCCGGGCCCGGTGTGCGCGCGGCTCCCCGCGGAAGCCCGGCCCCAGGCGGCATGAGCCGCTACCTCCTGCCCCTGTCCGTGGCGGGCACGGCTGTGGGCGGCGCCGTGCTGCTCAAGTGAGTACCCGCTCTGTCCCGGGCGCTTTCCTGCGGCCAGGCCGGGAGGGCCGGCCACGGCCGCCACCTTCGGGCGGACCCCGGAGTCGCCGGCCTTCCAGACCCGCAGCCCCCAGGGCGCGAGGGGCTCCCCGGGGCCCTGCTCGGGCTCCAGGTCACTCGGAGGACGGCCTGCCCGCGCGCCCTTTCCTTCCTGCACTTGCGACTCTGAGCGGGAATTTTGAGGGTGCGTGTGCTCCTCCGAGCCACGTGCTGGGCTGGGTGCAAGGGACATACACGAGGGGACTTCAGAAAGTTCCGGGGAACGTTCCACGATCTTCTTCCATTTTCCCACCCACTTAGTAAAAAGAAAAAAAGAAGTTCTTTTCCCTGACTCAAACGGTGAATTCGTTTTTTCCACCAACTTTTTTGGGAGCCCTCTCCCCAAGATACCATTCTAAGGCGCCTTGTCAGAAATTTGGTGCCAAATGGGGTTGCCCAACTCGGTAAACGGAGATCCCGTTTGTGTGGGATATTGTAGAGTACGCCCCCAAAGACCACAGAGGGCCCCAGTTCACACACGGTCAGACTTACTGCAAACCAAGTGTTTAAACCTGTGCCCGTTCAGTGGATGGATGCGGGCGAATTCAGTAAGAGAGAATTTTAAACTCCTTCCCAAAACGAGTTGCTTCTGCCTCATGGCCACCCTACAGGCCAGGGTAGAACTGCCCCTGTGGGTGTCTGAGACTTTAAATCCATAAGGGGGTAGAAAGCCTCAACTCTCTGCTAAAGAGAGGCTGGTGGTTTTGAACTGCTGACCTTGCTGTTAGCAGTCCAACATGTTAACCACTGTATCACCAGGGCTCCTCATGTCAACTCCCTGCCCCTGTAAGGTCTCTGTCTAATCTTTCCCGTTACTGTTGTCACTTTGTCCCCTTGTGGATAGATCTTAAAAGGGCCCAGTTCCCGGCGCAAACTAAAGCCAAACGGTCCCATCGAGGGAGTCTGTGCCTCTGTGGGTTTCTGAGACTGTAACACTCTTCGGAGTAGCAAGTCCATTCTCCTGAGGTGGTTTTGAACTGCCATAGCGCAGCCCAATGCGTAACCCACCAGCTACCAGGCCTCCTGGTACCCAGAGCAGACCTTGTTGACCAGGTCAGAGGGGGCTTCAAAAAGTTTGTGGACCAAAAGAAATCTTTCTCTTTTGATCTCATTTTCCTGTGACCTTCTGGCACGCCCCTGCCCCCAGCCCCCATTTCCACAGGTATGAGGTTTAAACAGCGCTTCCTCTGTTGGGGCTTGAGGGGCAGTGGTCTCTGCCTGAGGGGTTCGCCCCGTCTCCATCTGGAGGTTGTTGGCTGGCTGATTGTTTTTCAGAGATTGCCAGGCCTTTCTTCCTAGCCCCAACTCAGTGGGAGTGCCCTTGTAAAACAGCAAGGACTCACAGCCCACGGGGGCCCTTTCTCACCCTCAGGGACCATGTCGGTGGCGGGGCCTGCCCCAGCAAGGCCACCATACCCGGGAAGACCGTTATCATCACGGGAGCCAACACGGGCATCGGGAAGCAGACCGCGTTGGAACTGGCCAGAAGAGGTAGGGTCCCCTTGGCCGCCCGGTTCAGGGCTTGGGGCCCCTGAAATAGTCACGTTTGGTTGCAAGTGGTAGAAACCAAAAGGACCCGAAACTGCTTTCAGCCCCAAGCCTGTGTGCTTGGGACCCACGGGGAGGGTCTGGGGCCTCAGAGGAAGCGATGGGTGCAACAAATGGCACGAGTGGGGGGGGGCGGACTGCCTCTGGCTTCCCTATGGCCATGAGGCAGGGGTCAGACAGGCCCCCTTCTCCATCCTTCTTGGCCTAGCCGGACACCACCTGTTCTTCCCTCTCCACTCTGTGCAAGGTTCGATCATTCCTTGCAAAGGAGGCACAACTCACAATTCAGGGGGTTTACTAGCTAAGGAGCCTGGTGGCGTAGTGGTTACGCATTGGGCGGCTAACCACACGGTTAGCCGTTTGACACCACCAGCCGCTCTGTGGGAGAAAGGGGCGGCTTTCCATTCAGTGAAGATTCAGTCTCGGCGCGCCGTTCTGCGTCGGTATTGACCCGATGGCAGTGGGTTCGGTGTATTAGTGAAGCTAACAGGCTACCACAAGTCCGGATCAGTCAACGGGAGGGGTCAAGTTGTTGGTGCACAGCTACACCTCACTTCCGCCAGCAGCCAAGTCTCTCTTTGGCTCTTAGCTTCTCAACCACGTGGTCCCTTGGCCCCTGCCTCGGGCCCAGGAAGCCAGGTGCTCTGTCTCACAGTTCCATCCTCTCCTGGGCCACTGTCAATCATTCCCACACCGGAGCCCATGGGGGCAGCCACGGTGTCCAGTCCATCTCCTCCAGGGTCTTCCTCCTTTTCTCTACCCGGCATCATGTCCTCTCCAGGGACTGGTCTCTCCTCACACACGTCCACGGTTTGTAAGACAGAGTCTCACCATCCCTGCCTCTAAGGAGCACTTAGAGGTCCAGTCTGCCCTGGATCACTTCAAAGGTGGCTCATCCTTATAGGCAGGGGAATATACTGCTAACGACAACAGACCAGTCCCCTCTGGTGGGTTACATACGCCCAATTCGCACAGTCCCACCCACTCTTGGGGCGGGAGTGATGGGGAGTTGGGGAGAAGAGCTTCATTTAGAAATTTCACTCCACCACCAGTGGA